AGCCTTCCTTTCTGGAGGCATTCGCAACACGTGCCCAAGCCATCGCAGCTGTGACTTCTCAATCTGGAGAGTAATCTCAGTACACCGCTCATAGCCGAAGAAAAGTCCCTGCTTAACAAAGATGCCTGAATTTTGCTGTCGCATCGCGTAGCGTGTCGATATTGGCAAGCGATTGCCACAGAAAAAGTGTACAAATCATATTTCAAAAGCAGAAATAAAAAATCTGGAAGTCGTTGCAAAAAACGGAAGAATCAGTAAACTGGTCATCAACGGGGCAAAACAACTTTAGTAGAGGCAAAGTGCAGGCGACGAAACGTGACCATTCCACAGTCATATTGGAAGCTGACATAGGTAATGCAGCAGTAGTACTGAGTCGATAAGAAGACAACGAGAAACGCGCAGAAGTACTAATATTTGGTTGCGTTCAAATGTCTAAGAACCCTACTTATGCCATGACACGCACATGGTAAGTCTTACGTAAACATTTTGAAGGCAAAGAAAGCGCAGAATGAAGACACGTCCAGTGACTTACAGCAAGGCTAAGGTTTAAGATCAGTTTCGGAGTCAAGAAATTCTACTGCCTACCAAAAATTCAAAAGCCGGTGTACGATCGACCGGACCGTCCCCTGTCAAAAGAGCCTCCAATTGTTTGCCTCAGACCCGACTCCATCAACATCACACCACATGCCAGGGACTTCAAATTGTACATTTAAGACTCGACCGGCTTCAGCAACCTGAGGGACCATAACGGTGAGTTAATAATGCCAACAGTCTTGTCACAAGAGCATTTCTCTCAAACGGACCCTTGAAATTGTGGCAGACGAAGAGCATAAAACCATAATCAGAGTCTCAACGCAAACCACACTGGATCACCTAAAAGTTTGCATTTTTGACTACAACTTTCGTTTCAGTGGTAACCAGAGCCAGAAAAAGAAGAGAGCACCAAATGGCATGCTCGTCGTAAAAGTTTTCATGCAACAGCTCGAAACTCGCGCGTTCACAATATTGTTCAAACGGTTGGGGCGACATATTCACTGTTTGCCGAAAAAACGAAAACCCAGTTCTTGACCCATCTAAACCATCTTCATCCATCTACTTCCAACAAATATCTTAGTAAACGGAGTCAAACCGTTTCTAAAGAAAGTCATATTTTGAAGAGCGGACATTTACATCCCAGAAGTTAATTGCATACAACTAAAACCACCGTTACAGCTTTGAAAAGGCATGTCGAACACGTTGGACCTCACGTACTTAGAAAAACTGGGCATGAGCAACACGGTACCCAGCAAAAATCATCAGTGAAACGATCGAAACTTCGGAAATGAAATTACACAATCAAGAGGAACTGGTCACAAAGTGCCACCTCAACAGCTGAACAGTAGCCATTCTTTACGCATCTAGTTTCTATGTAATGCTATGAAGAAATTCTTCTAAACCTGGAGTACGGTTGCCCCGTAAGTCTGACGTTTGACTTCAAGCAGTGATTTGTACTGAGTCCAGCCCTGACGATGCTATGGCCTATGTAACAAAACGCGCTAGCAGTAAAGATTTTACCATCTGTTATTCATTCCGTGCCCTGAACCATGAATCGTACAACCATCCATCTGTGATTTTGAGATGTTCTCCATTCAGTAATACAGACAAATTTTCATTTTGACCTTTCCCGGAAATTTTCCTTATTTAAAACCACTATATCGTTAGGGAATCACTTTGGCGAAGTTTCAGAAGTTTTGCCAACAGTTTCAGTCTTCGATCAATCGGGAAACTTATACGGCGAGGAAAGGGGAAGAGAATCCATGGGACAAAATTCCTGGCGTTCAATAAACGCTAGCAGCTAGCCCTCAGCCTTCCATATGGTTTGCCAGAACCGTCCTCCTTGCTAGTCTGTCCAGCGATACCTGATCACATGTCTCGCAGCAAGTCGGTGTTATTTCATTTACTGTACTGAGCAAATTTCATTAACTGTAAAAAGCAACTTTGAATTAATTATACTTAAGTGCTTTGGTCACTTGGATCAGTCAGCAATCGATGACGAATTGTTTTATTTAATTACACTCTTTAC